AAAAAAAAAAAAAAAATACAAAAATTAATTGGGCCTGGTTGCATGTGGCTGTATTCCCAGTTACTTGGGAGGCTGAGGTGGGAGGATCATTTGAGCGGGGGAGTTCGAGACTTCAGTGACCTGTGATTGCACCATTGCACTCCAGCCTTGGCAACAGAGTGAGACTGTCTTAAACAAAAAACACTGTATATCCATGTCCCCAGTGGTTTTTTGGGTTTTTTTGTTGTGTTTTGAAACAGAATGTCTCTATGGCCTATGCTGGAGTGCAGTGGCGCGATCTCGGCTGTCTGCAACCACCACCTCCCAGCTTCAAGCGATTTTTGTGCCTCAGCTTCCGGAGTAACTGGGATTACAGGCCTGTGCCACCTGGACTAATTGTTGTATTTTTAGTAGAGACCGGATTTCGCCATGTTGCCCAGGCTGGTCTCAAACTCCTGACCTCAGGTGATCCACCCACCTGGCCTCCCAAAGTGTTGGGATTACAGGCATGAGCCACCACGCCCAGCCAAGGCCAGCAAATTTTTTAATTTTTTTGTAGAGATGGGGTCTTGCCATGTTGCCCAGGCTGGTCTGGAACTCTTGGCCTCTAGAGATCCTCCTGACTCGGGTCCTCCTCCCCGCCTCCCCCCAGCCCGTTAGAATTACAGGCATCAGCCACTATAGCTTGTCCACCAAGTGTTACGTATGCATGATTTTCATGGTTTCTCACAAGAACCATCTAAGAAAGTTGTTGTCTGCACTTCACAAATTAGGACACCAAGGCTGAAAAATGTGAAGCAGGCTAGGCATGGTGGCTCACAACTGTAATCCCAATAATTTGAGAATCCAAGGTGGGAGGATCACTTGAGGCCAAGTTCAAGACCAGCCTGGGCAACATAGCAAGACCTCATCTCTACAGAAAATTTAAAAAACCAGCTGCACACCTGTAGTCCCAGCAGTGAGCTGTGATCACACCACTTCACTCCAGCCTGGGCAACAGAGCAAGACCCTGTCTCAAAAAACAAAACAAAACAGAAATGTGAAGCAGCTTGCACTAGGTCACCTAGATAGTGAACACACCTGGGCTGTAGCCCAGCACTCTCTTAGATGCCTAAGCCTCTACCAATCAATGGAGACGTGATATTGTATTGTGAAAAGTGACTTATAAAATGTTTAGAACATTGTGACAAGCGGAGCCGTCCCACCCCAGTAGATAAAGAATAAGAACTACAGATGTGTATACTGAGCCCTTGTTATGTGCTGGGTAATTTGCTAAGTGTTTTATATAAATCCTTACAACAAAGAGCTAGATATTATCTCTAATTTATCCTGTAGGAAACAAAGGCTCAGACCAGGTCAGGTAACTTAACCTAAGATGACATCCCCCATTTGTGCCCATTTCTGTCCTTTCAGACATGGTTGCAGTTCTAGGGGAGACCACGGGACACCGAACCCTGAAGGTCCTCAGGGACCAGATGAGGAGGGATCCAGAGGGTGCCCAGATCCTGCAGTAGGTCCCAGCTCTGCCTGGGGGTCTGGGGGCAGTCTCTAGGTATTCTGACCTTTCTAGAATCACATTGTGTTTGTTCTGTTCCTCTAGGGCGCTCTTGATACCCTGGCCACATATAGTTGCACAGGCTGGGCACTGCCCAATTCCAGGGGTGTCATTCACATACACGTGTATACACTATGATGACCTGTGAGTTGGGCAGTATGATGGCATTGGCCCAATTTCAGCCACAGGGCTCTGTGCCTTCACTAAGTTCCCATAACGTGCTGGCTTTACCCCTCCCTTGCAGTGCCTTTTGCAAGTACTCTGGTCACATTCGAGGACTGTCTTCCTGCCTAGATTGTGCCCCTGCCCTTGTCCTTGGTTTGGGGTAGTATGCCAAGTCCCTGACACTGACCTGGCCAGCTGTAAGTGCTCCATTAAGATTTGTGGTGGCCACATTGCTCCTCTGTGAGTTCACCTGCCTCCCAGCTCACTGCAATTGGATCTTTCATCTACCTTTGCCAACCCTCTCCCAATACGCAAGTCTTGCCTTTCAGGGAGCGTCCCCGGATTTCGACATCCACCCTCGACCTGGGCAAGCTCCAGAGCCTGCCGGAAGGTTCCCTGGGCCACGAGTATCTCCGTTTCCTGGATGTGAACGTGAGTTTTCAGCTTCTGTGTACCTGGCAGTCACTAGACAGGACAGGGAAATAGCATAGGCCTGACACCCTGGGGAAAGAGGAGCCCTGAGCTGCCACCATGGTCGAGAGTGCTTTTCAGGGTTATGCCAAGGCTTTGTCATTTTCTATGGGACAGGCAAATGGGTGGGAACATGCCTTCAAATGATAATACTGGCCAGTGTCCATTAACCTCCCACTGCATGCTTGATGCCAGCCGCATCTGTGGTCTTGCTGAATCCCCCCACAACCCTGTCAAGTATGTTCTATTATTTTTTTAATACATATATTTTTATTTCATTTTTCTCCTTTTTCCACTTCTGTCTCTTCTAAGAAAAAGAAAGTATGTTCTATTATTATTCTCTTTTAGTACATAAGGAAACAGAGGCTCAGAGCAGTGAAGCAACTTGCTAATTTCACATAGCTGGTATTAATGGAGGCAGTAATCAACCCCAAGTCATGCTCTTAACTGCTGTACCATGCTCCCTTGTTCCACGGACATTGCTTTCTCTGTAATATGGCAGGTTTGACACTCTCCAGCCCCAGGCAAAGGAGGACAAGGAGAGGGGGGAAGAGGATGTCCCAACTATTGGTGAACTCATTCACTTACTGAGCCTCTGCCTTGTGCCATCCTTTTTGTTTTTTGTTTTGAGACAGAGCCTCGCTCTGTCACCCAGGCTGGAGTACAGTGGGGAGGTCATGGGTCACTGCAGCTCAGCTTCCCAGGTTCAGGCAATCCTCCTGCCTCATCCTCTCATGTACCTGGGATTACAGGTGCATAACATAATGCCTGGCTAATTTTTGTATTTTTAGTAGAGGTGGGGTTTTACCATATTGGCCAGGCCAGTCTTGAACCCCTGACCTCAAGTGATCTGCCTGCCTCAGCCTTCCAAAGTACTGGGATTACAGGCTTGAGTCACCGTGCCCTGCCCATCCATTTTTTGTGTGTACTGGGAATATAATGGTGAACTGGATAGCCAAGTTTCCCACCCTTATTTCTATTCTAGTTGGAGAGGTAGACAATAAAATAGTTTAAAAGATTTTTCAGGGTGGGCACAATGGTTCACACCTATAATCTCAGCATTTTGGGAGGCCCAGGTGGGCAGATCACCTGAGGTCAGGAGTTTGAGATCAGCCTGGCCAACATGGTGGAACCCTGTCTCTACTAAAAATACGAAATTTAGCCAGGTATGGTGG